CTGGGAGCACAGCAAAGTGATTCTGAGTTTGCCTCAATCATATCATTATATATCCACATATAAAAATGTTTTTTAATTTGATCCACTAGAAGTTGCCAGCATAATCACCCCACCTGCTATTGAAAAGAAAGTGGGCAAATTGATTTTTACAAACCTGCCTCTGCAAATCATGCTTTGCTTGTTTATTGGCCAAAAGACAACCAGGCCCCTTTGTCTCTTATGGTGATGCTTTATCAGTCAGAGGAGGCAGCAAGACAGCCTCCACAAGACAGGAAGGATTGCTGTGGGACTCTGATTGCAACTAATAGAGACAGTCTTGACAGGATGACTGTAACTCTATGGAGGAAACTAGTAGAGGTGTCCAGGTTCAAAAAGTAGTAAAATTGCATATTCTCTAAACAGCTGCATTTTCACATTCATGGCACAACACATTTCATCTATGTGCATTTGGTGGGTGTGTTAGTGTATTTCAATCCACCCACATGCCAAGCTGAGCAGAAATAGCACAAAAGTAAGAGAACATACAGTACTTACATTCAGGTAACTAAAATCATCACTATAAAAGCAGAAAGAATGCCACAAAAACCCCAACAATAAATATTGTTTTAAATAGTCCTGTGCTGGGAAGGGCTCTTCCATCTTCAATCTCTATGAGGACAATGGATCTTGCAATTGATTTTTCTGTTTTTTGGCAAAACTATGCATTTTCATAAACTTTCAGAATGTCTAACCCTCAATGTTTCCTTACTTCCTTCTGCAAGACATCCAATTCTAAGTATCAGTAAGAGAAATAGCTCTAATTAACAGGCAAACCAAAACATAACAATTCTAAAGTTGCAACGAAGAGATTTTTAATTATGAGAAAAAATACATTTCCATTACCTTTAAAATTCACTTTAGTAAATGACAAAACTACAGGTAATTAACCGGGGAAATACAGTTTTGTCTCATTTTCAATCCACAAGTAACTATCATTTTCATTTTTATACAAATAAATGAGAAATCTGATTTAGAGTAGCACATGAACAAAATCAAACACGAATTTGAAAGACTTCTGCAATCAACCAGGCATCTTTTCCAAAAATTGACAGCCGAAATCTGTTCACTTCTTATTATGGAAGATTACAGCAGAGAATTACCTTAGAGCAGTGGTCTTCAAAGTGGGGTGTGTGCATCACAGGTACTATGCAAGACAATCCACTGGGGTGCAGGAAGAAAATATCACAACTTCAATAGTACGTGTTTAGAAATCATAAATAAATAAGGGAGTGCATGCTCAAAAAATTTATACAGATGGGTATGCATGACCAAAAAAGTTTAGAGACCACTGCCCTAGAGGATCCTGCCATGCAATTACTGCTGCCATGTCAAAGGCATCTAATGAAGATGATGGTGAGATGCAAGCTCTCTTTTATACCTCTTCTTAACTCTCAGTTATACAAATGGGTAAAAATTTCTCTAGGGTGCAGATCCATGAGCTCCTGTCTTTTGTTAAGCAGCATGGATTCTCAAAAAAACCCCAGAATTACTCAACTTTTCTTTGTTTTCAGGAAACAGAGCTTACTGGTTTCTCATGAATCTCTTCCCTCCACTGTGCTTACTGTCAACATTTGATGAAAGAGCTAATATTCCTTATGTGGTCAGTTAAACAACATGTATGTGTCAATCAAGACAGGCAATTTTAGGTATTTGGGAATGGATGACCCCTCTGGAAACCACTTAAACCAAGGAGATAGCTTAGTGGTCTTTTCTGTCTGGGCTACCTCACTTGTATGAAAAAGTGGCTAGTGAACAAAATCTGGCTCAGTAAGCCCCTGTTATGTTAAAAAGCAAGCGATGGATTACAATGTGCAAACACGGAAGAGGAAAAATTTGCTCTTAACCAAAACATGACGATCACATTTGTTAATCTCTCTTCCACTCTGGAATGAGAAGAATGTAGAAATGGCAACTAAACTGAAATCTTGCAGTGTCTGTAATCACTATGAAGACGATTAGGCAAAATGTGAATAAGAAGAGACAATATAATAATGGCAATGGAGAAAATGTACCAAGCAACCTTCCTCAGCACCACCTAACAAAGCACAAGATGGGTGGTGAAGCTGAAAGATAATACTCTTAAATTAACAGAAATATTGTTTTTTTAATTTAGCACAATGTATAATTATCCCTTCAACCTCTATGGTAAGAACATCTGAGTGAAATTAGAACAATAATTTTGAATGCTTCATGGCATACACCAAAGCACATCAAGCATCAGCAAGCAGTTAGCTAAAGATTCACCCAACAGCTGAATATATCTATCTACTGCTCACTAAGGGTTATTTATATCTTCCCTGAAATCATTTGAACTGGTTAATACAAGAATAGATCTCAGGCACAGCAACAGCTAGTTCTTGGTGAGGGGAAAGCTGAAAACCAAAAGCCAGCAGTGTACGAAGTCACAAGTAACACGAACACATACTTTGGATTCACAGGAAGAGGCCATTTTACTTTATTTGTTTTTGCTTTAGCACTACATGCACAGATTTCTAGATGCTGATTTTACTCACATGTAAAATCTTTGCGTCTTGAATAACATCTTTCTTGATATTTGTCCTAGCTAAAGCTAACTGGAGAAACAGCAATGACATCTCAGTGAACTGCAATCTCTTTTGTTCTGCAATTGAGTAATAAAACCCCTGACATTAGCATGTCAACATCTTTATGACAGCAAATTTCATTTTTTCACCATTCAAATCTACCTGCAATATTACAACCTCATTAAAAAAAAGAATAAAACCTTAATGACTCTTAAATGCAACCCCTACACAATCTTCCTTCATTGAGAATTCTGAGATTTTATTGTTTACTTCTAATTTGGAAGAGAACTAAATTGTGATCTCCTCCAGGAAATTATATTTCCATCTTTAGCATTGCTCTACAACAGCCATCAGAAATTAGGTATCTGAACGGAAATGTTACATGGTCACCCTTCTCAGCTTTAAAAAGCTATCATTGCAGGCTGGATTGCAAGATTGAATTAAGATTGCATTCTTGGCTACACCGCTAAAACATACTGAAATAGTGCTGTCTAACATAGCTCCTGTTCTACCTATGGTACACATTTCAGGCTCAATCTGTCTGTCCAAAAAACAGGTACAAAAAGAAGTTAAAATGTTCTAGATTATAGCCACAGGGCTGGTGTTAGCATGACACGTGCCAAGCGGGAGAGCCATGCCCTTCTGGAGAGCGAGGTGGAAGACAGGCATGATGTTTTAGCACTTGAAATACTGCACTAGACATCCATGCCTTGCAACTGTGTTGAGCCCTTCCAGGTCTTAATTTTGTAACAAGTATACCAGTAAGGAGAGAAAAAAAGTACTAAAACGTAGCTGTGCAGTACATAGCTGATACTGCTTTACAAGTTGCAGGTATATTCCTAAAGGACTTTCACAGTCATTCTGCCAGTTTGACTAACCCTGTCAGCTTTTCAAAATTTCTGGTTTTATTTTCAGCTGCCAAATTCAAGTTCAGACTCCCTCTTTACTCCTGCATTCCTTTAGTTTAAGGTCAGCTAATACAAAGGCACAAATCGTACATTTGTCAGCTTATTTCTCCATATCCTTTTTGGTTTTTTCAGGGTTTCTTAAGAATTTGCCAGCTGGCTGATTACAAAATGATGTACACTTCTGACCAAGCCATTGGGCAGGTTCAAACTCTAACAAGAGATGATGAGCACAAGAGACCCTGGTGCTTTCACAGTTACAGCTGATGTGTCTTTTTTCTCCCAGCTGAATGCCACTATTTGACACTACACTCCATGACAAACAGAGACATGAGTGTAATATTTTTTATTCATGATGACTCTTGCAACCTAAAAATCCTGATTTCTTTCATTATGGAGCTATGGAGCTATGATTCAATGCCTTTAAAGGAAGACCCAACTTAAGCACTATGCTCGTAACATATAGCAAAATAATGTAAACACATATTTTTATTTTAAATATTCTTTATGGCCTTCATGACTGTTTCACCTACATTGCTCTTCCATACACCAGTTTGCAGACTCCCAATATAGTTCATAGAACACATGCAGTAAACGAGGTATGTGTTACTGAATTTCAGTGTTTGTCAAGCTATTCATGCACAGTAGGTTTCTCAGAGGTAAACAGAGCCCGTACTAACTTAATTGCTGCAACATTTTGTAGCAAATCGTTACAAAAAATTGTAAGCAAGCACCTCTCTTTAAATGAAACATACAGCAAATGAATGTCACTGGAGTCTGAGTTTACTTTCAGAATTGATGTTGTTTAAATGAAAACCTTGTTTGCAAATACAAGTAGTTAGTCATTTGTTGTGAGTCTGCATATTGCAAAAGTTAATTTCCATCTCTTCATAAAAAAGCATTAAAATTTCTGCAACAGACTTAATGGAAAAATTGCTGATCATGAAAATTATTTTTGCATATGACAGTGACATTCACTGTGCTATCCGCTGGCTTTTGGGGGATCCTTATCCAAAGGATAAGGCTTTGGGGTTCCTTCCTCTACTCAGTTTAACACTAGATAACAGTGCATGGCAAATGACTGGAAGCATTTGACAGATGCAAGTAAATCAAGGGTCAGTTAAATATAAGGCAACAAATAAATATATGGAAAAAATGTCCAGATTTTAACACCATAAAGACAATATATCATGTAACTGATGGAATATCAAACACTGGTAAATATTAAAATGAATTGAATGGTTTCATTTTTGCTTAACAAGATCTATGGTTTTGATTTTTTTAAATTCATATGGCAAATTCGATTTTGAGTGATACAGACAAGTTTTACTCTTTTCAATAGACTGTGTTTATCTGAAGGCAGAATTTAACTGAAAATGTTTCCAAACATGATGAAAAGCCAATTCCAAGCTTTTGTCTATCTAGATTGTTTTACTGTTACGTTGTAAATCTGCAAAAATCAGAACATTGGACATTGAAAAACTAAAGTTTTGAGAAATCTAAAATTACTTACAAGCTGCTCCGACTTTACACCGTAGAGCTGAATGGTCTTTGCAACATTTTTTGCCACAGCTAAACTGAGGTCTGGATCAACAGCAGCCACATTCAGCTCACTGGAAGCAAAGATTACAAATCTTAAATAACAACTGAACAGTGATGTATTTAATGGATAAAGAAATAGCTATGAACACGAAGTTACATGGCATGTCAATTTAGAGAGAGTAGCACATTCAACCAAGTCTTTCTATGCACTGTAATTCAGTTTACAATTTAACAAGTCACTTGGGAATTTTATGTGCAGTGTTCCTATTCTAGTAAAAATGAGCAAAGTTTAGGAATGACACTTCAGTATGAAATCACTATTAGTAAGCCATTCAAAAATATTGACTGCAATTAACTACATTCAAGCTTTGGCAGCAGCCTTCAAACATTACAGGTGAATACACAGTCATTCAACTCTGGAATTACATGAGCTGCGCAGAAATACCCAGGGGACACCTTAGCTTGACACGACTAATAAGCCGTGTTTTAGGCAATCCTTTATAGTAACAGAGGCCCCAGAGGAATGACAGAGAAAAAACGGAAGAAGGAAAAGACTTCTAAATTACTTCTAGTATTTCTTGTTCATGGACTGACACCCCCCCCCACACCCCATCCCCCCCATCTCCATCATTTGGGACTGCATTCACAAATGCTCTCCTGAAAATAGACAAGTACAAGGGCCATCATGTTGCTACGGATAAGATTAACCTCTCCGAAGACCGGAGAGACCCTAGGCACCTTGACATAGGAATAATCACCTCTGAGAACTCCACAGGGCCCCAAACATCATTAGCTAAAGGTGACTCTGGAAAACTCAGCTGAAATTTCATTCTTTTCATGTTGTTTTCCCTTCTGCTCTGCAAGGAGCAAAACAGCCATCAACAGCCACAACAACAGGCATGTTCTGAGCATCTGCAACTCCCAGTCACAAGTACAGCGTCAGTATTTAACAACACACACACATTCACAACAGTCAATACTGCCCATCATTTTCAGACTGTATTAAACAAGAGTAGTCCTTACCAAAACCTTACGAGAAAAAATACACCACTGGTAATTAAGTATCTCATTTTACAAATGCTACCTGGAATATTGCTGTTTCGCTCTAACAGAATATTTACATTAGGTATTTATCAATTGCAGGCAAGCAACTATCATCTTCCCTTTGACACAGTCAGAATAACAAAGATTCCAGACATTCGCAATATATGTTAAGTTTCTCTTCCTGATGTTTTATAAGCTTAAACAGTAAAACCTAAATTAAAAATTCAGTTATGCAATAAAAACAAAATAAAAAAAAAATCTATAATAAACTATAAGTAATAAAAAAGAGGTAATTATGCTGCTGTATTCAGCTTTGATCCAGCCTCACTTTGAATACTGTGTGCAGTCCTGGACCCCACAATTAAGAACCAGTTTCAAAACTAAAGAGTAATCAACCTTTTACTGATGAGGAAGTCTCATTTCTAAAACTGTAACTTATGAGAAAAAAAACATGCTGAAGATTACATTTTGCAATGTATTGTATGTGCATACCTGGCTATAGTTTTAATGATGCTTTCAAGCTCATCAGAAGAAGGAGGATTTCGACCTCCAGGAGGGAAGACAAGATTGATGGGGTCAAAGAGTCGAGATAAGGATTTTGACAAATAAGCAGCTTCATACTGTTGCAGTGAATCTTTCAAGGCCTTTTCTGGACTGCAGGTATAAGACAGAATTATTACATTTTAAAGTAAAATACACAATAGCACTGAATCTTTCCAGACCACAGAAATGTCACAGTTTTGAACCTGGCTTTTCTTTCTGCTCTTTAAACTTATGCATTTGAAAAGATTTTAACAGTGTGTAAAACCTTGCTTTTCACTTGAACCATGTAGTAAGTGTAATGTAAAAACATGACACAAAGTATAAAATAGCTATTAAAAAAATATAAATGTACCTCCTGCAGTACTTACGTGTATAGAAAGCTTCAAACAGAAAGACTCTTCTTAAACTTACCTTTAATAAGTTTTAGTCTTTAGTATTTCTACTTTTGGAAAAAAGTAAGCAGTAGCTCTCTCAAACATTTTACCTCATTATTAGAAGTTTGATGAAACAAACTTTGCTTCCATTCAAGTGACTAAGTCTCCCACTGACTGCTCAGGAACGTATTTAAGCTAATACAAATCTCACATAAAATATTCATTTTATCTTACGTAAGTCTAGAAGTTCTAATAGACTTGATGAGCCTGTTTCTGTTTGATCTTTCTGATATCCACCGCTCAGATCATGTTTATCCTACAATGTATACACATAACTGTGAACCATAACAAACTGAGCATTTGCCATGCTTCAATGACTGTGGTATAATTAAGAGAAAGCTACTGCTACACATACAAAACTGAATTTTCATCATTCTGCTTCTTTTTTTCACCCAAAGAGACAAAAAGGTAAAATTAACTCAAAGTCAGGGACCTCGTGAAAGATGAGGCAATCCAACACTGTTAATTGTATAACCCAATGACAATCCTACAGCTCTAAAATAGTATCAAAGCAATAACTGTAAGAGGGAAAAAAAGCCTTTAAAATTTTCCCGCTCTGACAACCTGAATTACACTAAGTTCTTACAAATATTCTGTTTTCTTGCAGGGTGAAAAGCTTCAGATTTTATTGCCTTAGGGTTCATAATACATACTCATAGTCTTGGGTTTTTTGCATGAATATGTCCTGTGCATCGTCTTCCATTTGTTGCAGTTCAGTAAGGAGATCAGTAGCTCCACCTGTGTTAAAATTCCTCTGAATATTTTGACTATATTGTTGCAGGCGCTTCCACAAGTCATTATAAAGCCTCAGTAATTTAGGGTATTCTCCTTCGAAGGCTTGCTTCAAAAATGTAGAGGCTGCAAAATAAAGCAGTAAACAATATGCATTGCCAAGTTCAAACTGATTTTTTGATTCATACAACCAAACTGTATCCTTGTATTTATATAAATGAATTATATGCAGTGTAATCCTATCTATTATATTAATAATGTAATATTAAAAATTAATTTCAAAGTGGCATGAGCTACCACAAATGAAGGTACACATCTAAAGCACCAGCATAAAATCCACAATTGAAAGATGGGACATGGAAAACATACTTTGTACAATAAAGATACTAATCATGGTTGTGATACGTGTGGTATCAAAGTTAATTATTAGTATTATCACTCATTTAAGGCACAAGTGTGATTAGAACACTTTAAATCTAGAGAGTTTCTTACAAAAGCTTGATGACTGGAAAGTGCGGGGCTGTGTAATTTTGAAGATACCCATTTAAAATAAACAAAGATAACTTCCATGAGCCACAGTCTTCAGAAATCTGATGTGGGAAGCATGTGCATTTACACGCACCTCTTAAAACAAGGTATCTAAAATGCAATTCCTAAACTTGTCAAATAATGACAAAGCCAGCAGATAAAACAGCACTATTTTCAGCCTTGAAAGGCTTGCCACAAGCAAGAGGAAATGAAAAAAATGTACAACTGTTTTCGCAACCGCTGTTAATCTTGATCTAACATCACTCATGCTTTATGGATTTCCCATTACTTTAGGAGATTAACACTGTTCCACTCATTCATAGGTTTTTTCAGCTTCCGGAAATCTGCCCCATTTCACCCTGCCTATCTTTTCAACTGAAATATATTCTAATTTGGAATACTGGAGGATCCACATTTATTATCAAATATGGTTCTTTTAGGTCACAAAGACTGTCCAAACCTCACAAAAGCAGAACACAAATATTATCAAACTTTATAAACTGCCATCAATCCCTATTTTTAGAGTATTTTTCTGATAACTGTGTAGTCTTCTCCTAATCTATATGATCCAGACGTCTGAGACTGATGGCGGTAGATTCAATCACTTACAATTTTTATGTTAAAAAATTAACTGTCTCATACAGATGAACCACTTGAATGAAAAAGTCTGTAATGCTGTAAGCATTGTTTCCCCAAAACTCATCTGTAGCAAAGTGAAAACATCATTCACAGTTCAAAAATCCAACCACTCCTTTGGGACCTTTATATAAAAAATGTGACTAAAAATCATAAGTAATAAAATATTTTTAATAGCTGTCAGACAAAGTACTGCTGACAAAATGTAAGACAAAAAGTAAGTTCCCTTACTTCTGAAATGTTGATTGATCCCATTAACTGATGTCACAATTTTGCAATCTTAAAACTGAGTGCTGAAAACAGGTAGCACACATTCGGTTTGAACATAATCCTGGGTTATGTACATACTGTGGTTTAAGTAATGTTTAAGGCAAACAGTAAAATTAATATGTTTTAACACAAGATGAATACATTTTCTTTTGGGATCATGTAGTTACTTAGCAACCAAGGAACAGGAATCAACCAGATAGTTCCTCAAGATTATATTGCTGCTATAAAGCGTGGAAGGACCAAACTCTCAAGGGCCAATGCAATAGCTGAGATCACAAAGATAAATGCACATCTCATGCATTTTATCTGTGTGTGCAAAGAATTAACTTTAGACACTGTATACAAACATGAAAGATGTATTCATGAAAGCACCAAACTCACCTTTGACCCAACTGCATATTGCATTAGCATGTACCAGAATAGTTTATATGCTTACCTGTTATTTTTATTTAATATTCCTTGATTGTATCATCTGCTATTTATACATTACATATGTACAAAATATCATGTATAGTCACACCACCAACCATTCATACATATTTAGACAGAACCCAATTTTGAAGAAACCCAACTCCTATTTATAAAGGTATTCAAGAACGTCCAAAATCAGATTTTTACTTGAGTTTAACATGGAAAGTCTGTAAGAACTGCTCTTACTCATTCACTTTGGAAATCTTAATGCACCATTTCAGCCATTTTTACTTCTACATGCAATTGCAAAAATACACTTTTGTTATTAGAGAATAAATATTTAATGAAGCAGAAAATATTTAATTTTTTTTTTCTGTAAATTCAGCCACAGTTTAGGAGGATCAGCCTGTTTGGTTACAAAACCAAGTTTTAAATGCACAGATCCCAGACTGAGTGAACCACTGCTACAGTTCCAGTGGAAGAGATAATGAGCAAAGGGCTTACTTAAGTCAGAGATGCAAAACAACTATCCAACACAGTACAAATCATTTATTCTGAATACTTACAGTCTGTTGCTGACTGGAACTGACAGGAAAGTGTCTGAGTTACTGCAGTCCAAAATTTGTACAAAATATCGGACTGGCCATCCTGAGGGCAGGGGACAAAAGAAATAAAAGTTTTAAAACACAGTCATTTCAAAGAATCTTAAACAATGCAAACACTTCCAGTCAAAGCTCTTCAACATCACTGAGAATAAAAACAAAGTAAATGAAGTCTGAGAAATTTTCCTCAAGTTTGAAGCTAGGAAAAAAATATTGGAGAAAACAAAAATAAAAGCTTCAGTCTTCTCTCAAATGGAATATTTTCCTTCAAGTCTGAGAGAAATGCTCCCAGCTCTCTTGAGGCACGGGTGCAGACCGAAGCAGTAAACACCAGGAGCTGTGTTAGAAAACCTCTTTGCACTACAGTGACCTTCATATTCTGAGGGGGTTCTCAAGCTGGCAATTACTGTTACTGCCACTACAATATGTTTGCAAACACCGACCAGGGACCGAAACCAGTGCTCTGCTTCCCACAGAACAGTCTTCTGTTTCTAAAAACACAGAACACATGAAATTACAGTGAGCCTCACAGCTGACTCTTTACCACCTTGTGTCAGCAGGGCTGGCTGTCAGAATTGGAAACACAGTAGTGTGTTCTCGCAAAAAGGACATATGAGAAATGGCAGGCTGTTTTCTTACTCCCCCCATCACCTTGCACTTATGCTCAAGCATTAAACCATGATATTGTTTTCTCTCTCTTGCTTTCTTCCTGTTGGTGTGTCTGAGGTACAAAAAAATTACAAGAGATGATGATGAGTATCCTGTCCTGCCCACTAGTCAAATACTTGGAAGGCTATCCAGTGTTCTCATGGGAAGAGGAAGCTCATGCTGGACAGAACTGCTTTCTTCATTGCATGGTATACATGTAATATTGACCCTACTGTACAAACTAACCTGTTTGACTGAATCACTAATAATAGTCAGAAAAAAGTGCTCAGATGAATACGTGAAACAGCAGCAGTGATGACAAATGTCAGGAATTCTAGGGATCTTAATGCTGTCACTTGGCTCACTCTGACAATGTTCATGGTTTTAAAGCACAACACTGACATCTAAACATGTTAAGCAAAGGGTTCAACACTGAAATAGGTGTCAAAGGGGGATGCATTTCCTCAGCTTTCCTTTTGGTACTGCCAGTGACTTCACTATGAGGAAAATGCAAAGAAACCCCAACCAAACAGCCCTAATTCTTGTTAATAACACAAGCCCTTTCACAGTGTCAGTTCAACTTCTGCACTGCCCAGCACCACAAAGAGGAGGAGATGGGCTATCAAATCTAGAAGTCCAGCTACTCCAAACTGAATTACTACTTCAGATGGAAAAGGAAAAAATAAATGCACTCTAATTGATTCCATTGGCAAGTGAAGTAATGAAGGTTTTCACAATGTCATTCATTAACATGGCACCACTGCATTCCACTTGAAGATCTGATAACTGTAAGACTGCAAGTTCAAGGTCAAGCAATTAAAAAACTACCATCTTAGAGAATTGATATAAAACCTGAAAATCTGTCAAAGGTACATTGAGACACCTAAAAATAAAGGGGGGGGAAGGCAAAAAAAAAAACAAACAATGATTATCCAGTAGAATTCATTTACAAATTCTGAGATTCAACAAGGAATTCATAACCAATCCTACCCCTTATCTCTACTGATATTCAAAGAAAGATATAATTTATGGGTCATGTGTTAAGAATCGAGAGAGAACATCTTTTTATGCTGTTGGATTCATACTCACAAAACGTATGAGAAATAAGATAGAATACTAAAATAAACTAGGATGATGGAATCTCATTTTTGACATTTTTGACACTAATGGATTTAGAAACTGAAGCAATTTATTCTATAGTTATGTTTGTATTTTCTGCAAAATTGTACTTGATTTTCATAAATGGGCAAAGTAAAATTACAATATCAGACAATGATTTGGAAGGAACACTGCATAAAATATCTTTGATATTTTTTGTAAATTAGCAGAAACGTGAAATTACTCAGTTCCTCATTTCACAGCTTCACATTTAAAACATGAAAATTACTATAAAACAAATGGCCTTTCACATCAACTATAGAGTAAATTAATTAGTTTTCATATTTTCTATCTGAACCTGGAACAATGTTTGCCTATTCAACATGATAATTTAATTCAATTTCTAAATAATCTAATGGAGGTGGAAAAATACTTACAGAGCACGTTCAAACAACTTTTTTTTCATTACTGTAATCACCATCTACACCTCTGTCATAGTCTCAGCAGAAAACGCAATTATTAAAGGGTCTGGAAAACAGACATGCATGTAGTCCCTCACATCAACATTTCTATCTTAACTGTCAGATTCAACAGGATGACGAATAACAGTAACATACATGTGGCAATACTTAATGTCTTTGTGAAAATATAAAACTTTTGTATGTACTTATATATATACATATATAATATAAAGTCATACATACATATGTATGCACTCATATAAACATCTGCATAGTAGCCAGAGCTGTGCAATCAAGCCTCTGCCCATTACCTTGTGTCCTCTGGCCTGAGCAAATGGTGCTCATTAACTGTATCAGCATTTCGTAGAGAAGGCCCTCATATCTCTGCTAACCAACTGCATTAGGTATGAGGAAAAAGAGAGGGGGAAAGCTCTCTTTTCTCACATGGAAAACTCAAGTAACATCTCATACTGACTGACTGCTCCGTCAAAAAAGTTTAGGGAAAAAAATATTAATGCCCCAGTTTGGGACCAACTAAAAACTCCATCTACAGTCATTACTGGCTACTTCTATAATGTAAGATACAGTATTTCACGTTGTCCAGTGTCAAGATGCAGTCACTCTGGGTGTGAAATACAGATGCTGATTAATAGCACACAGAAGACCATGTAAGAGTTTTTGGCAGGAACTTGAGAGTACTATTGCCTACGCATACACCAGGGGGTATTTAAGTGGGTAGACTGTAGCTACCAAAATTGCAATACAGCAAGGCATTAGCATTAGATACTCCTGCCGAAGTAAAAAGCAGCACATACAACCATGAGAACCCAGAAACCATTTCTTTATTTTGTGTAAACCTGTAATTTTTTTGCTTACACATTAACTCAACACATTATTTTTACAGTGCTTTTAAGTATCTCGCTGCTTATTTTTTAAATAAGGTATTCTAATAGAGACTACATCTGTGCCTGCAGATCACAAAGGAAATTATAATTTATTTAAAATATAATGTGCAATTCCATTTCCAAATAACTGATACTAAAAAATTACATAAAAAAGGGTAGCAAAAGGAGTGTTTTTTCTCCAGCTTAGCATGAAATTAAAGCAATGTCCCTACCCCTTGCACTGGACAACTTCAAGGACTTAAGAAGGTGGAAGAGAAAAGGGCAGTACTGCTTGCCTGAAATGTGCACAGCACATCTACCAGCTCATCTTATTCTAATGGAAAGCTTATAAGTCTTCCCCTATGCTTCATACAGCACTCTGAGCAACATCCCACAGAATCAGAAAGTAACTGCTCTTTTGGGTCTTTCACTTTCAGAAAATGTCATCTAGCTAAAATTGCCTTTGTGTCATCTTCCCATCTGTGGAGTGTAAGTAATGAATTTGGTTCTCCTCTATGCTCACACCAAATATCTTCACTGGTAGACAATGTATGGGAGCATTGGGTACTTCCAGGTTAATGATTTAATATGAAAAAGGAATTCTTTTTGGTGCAAATCTATCTTCTGTCTATACTTGCTGTCTTGCAGAACACACTGAACTATGTTAGTGGTCTAACTTCCACTATTCAAGGAATACACTACCTCATCATTAGCTTAAAAAGAACAACTTCTGCAATTAAATAGCTTTTTGTAGCATATCATCACATTTTTCTAACAGAACCCACAAGGATGTACTAATATTTTTATCAATTAACATTCTGAGACTTTAAATTGGGAATTTTCCATTTCTCCTGCTTCTGGAAATGAAAGAAAATTGAAAGATGTTAAATTACTTACACCCCCTCCAAAATAAAAATGCTTGCTTTGAAATCTAGTCACAAGCAGATTAACATCTTGTGATACAATCCCTTGTAGCAGGAGCAGCTGACAAGATGAGTAATGAACTGCATCCGATTATCTTTTCAGCTCTGTGGCAATCATTTTCCAACAGCTTCCTATTCCATAACCAACAACACTGGGAAAAGGTCACCATTCTGTCATATTCCTGCCCCCCCCCATGTGTTTAATAATGCAGAGAACACATAAACCTTTGGAATTTAAAAGGACTGGTACTGATAACTGGGGCAAAACTGTTTCAGGTGCATATCGCATATGCAGAAATCCTACATAAAACACCCAGACGTAATTTAAAGTTTCTCAGATGGAAATTATTACATGTAGCATATAACAGAATGCTATTTTCTCTTTCCACGCAATATGTTCTTTCTTCAACAAAAAAACCTTAACTGTAATTCATATCAAAAACGCAGCACAGGCGAGATTCAGGTTGATATATATATATATATATGTTCCCCATCACGGAATACAATTAAAAATGAATTAAATCTATGAACATTAACCACAAGCAACTGTAGGACTATAATGGCAAAACAGGATTTTCACCATTTAAGTCAGCATTTTTTAATTGATGGTACTATCTGTTCACAGCTTTAGTTTGATCTCACAGCAGAGAAAATCTGCATATAAACCTATGCTTTGCACCACTACAAAATGGTTGGGAGTTTACAATCAGCCACAGAACTGGCTATTTTTCATAAAAATCTGCTGTGAAAATGCTCCTGTACCTAAACTACATTTACATAAACTAATGATCTACCAACCCAAAGTGGGAATTAAAAATAACTGTCACTGCTGTTCCTGTGCCCAGTGACCACTTTATTCCCCAGAACTGATGCAGCTGAGCAGGTACTCAAATGATTTAGTAGCTCCTATGCAACTCCTTAGGCTGTGCAAGACAGCTTAGATCTGTCTTCCTCTTGTCAATTCTTTGCTTTCAGAAAACTGAACAACTGCCCAGTAACATAAACTAGGGCAACCCTCTGCCGTTGTGACCT